CAGAATTTGACAAAATTCACAAAACTAGAATCCTTATACTCTCACGAGTCTAACCATACGAAAATTATCCAATTCCGGTACCATTTGGTCCTTCAAATCATCATTTTACATCTTTGAAAGATTTCACAATTTTCTTCCCAAATTCCATCCCAAATCATGAATTAAATGATGAATTCAATGATAGATTCATGTACTCTAGCCAAATCTGAGTTAGAATCACTTACCCCGATGAATTTCTTGAAATACCTTCGAAAAATCGCCAAAATCCGAGCTCCCTAGGTCAAATATCAAATAAAACCTAAAACCTCATATTTATAGAGACCCCACAGATCTCCACCTCCGCAGGCCGCACAAAACTGACCGCGGTCCGCACAAAACCAGTGCGGTCCGCAAAAAAATGACCGCGACCGCACAACTTTCCTCTGCAGTGACAGACTTTAGTATTTTGGCATAACTTTTGCTACAGATGTCCAAATTGCAGTATCTATACCTTTATGTAAACTATACACGAAGGGCTACAACTTTCGTTTTTGAATCATCTCAAAATTCCTTGTAGATCAAAAGATATGAGCTTCCGAAGTAGGACCAGCAGAATGTTCTTCACCGCGGCCACACACCATTTTGTGCGGTCCGCACAGCACCTACCTCTGTCACACACCATTTTGTGCGGTCCGTACAACACTCACCGCGGACGCACTTCATTTTGTGCGGACCGCGCGGGTGAGTTCTGAGGCCTGCAACCCTTCTGGACCTACTACAGCTATGATTTTCGGCCTAAAACATCCTAGAACTCCCGGAACTTCAAACTAATTGTACAAACACATCCCATGACATCGTTCAAACTTGATCAAAACTTCGGAATGCTCACAACAACATCAAATCACCAATTTAATATAGGATTCAAGCATAAGAACTCCAAGAACTCTTAAATTATGCTTTCGATTAGAAAGTCTATCAAACCTCGTACGAATGACCTGAAATTTTGCATACACATCCCAAATATCACAACGAAGCTACTGCAACTCTTGGAATTTCATTCTGACCTTTATATCAAAATCTAACCTATCAACCGGAAAGTGCTGAAATCTCAATTTCATCAATCCAACCCTAAACCTTCCACGAACTTTCAAAATGCATTCCGATCACATTCCTAAGTCCCAAATCACCTAACGAAGCTAACCAAATCATAAAAATTTTAATCCGAGATCATATACAAATCAATCAAATATTGGTCAACCCTTTCAAATTTTTAAGCTTTCAATTGAGACTGTTCTTTCAAATTAAATTCTGATTAACCTGAAACCCAACACAAACGATTTACATAAGTCATATTGTATCACACGGTGCAAGTTATGCCCGAGAACTGGTGAGAGAAATGCAAAAGCTCAAAACGACCTATTGGGTCGTTACAATTAATTTTTTGGTTCAGAAACTAAAGTTATATATAGGCAAATATTCTGTTCTTAATACTTGGCATGCCTCAAAACTCTGGATTAACCCGGATCTTCCTCAAGTTGTTGATTTTAAGTCCAGGTTAGTTATTTCATAAATTAAGGTTATGTGGATACTACACAAATAATTGTTTATGGTTAAAACTAATACAACCTTGCGTATACAGATTGGCAAGTGTGAATGAAGCTCACTCTGCCAGGATCAGTCAAATACCTTCTCAGCGTAGTTATTCTGTTTCTAATGAGTTGGCTACTGGAACTATAGAAGTTAAAACTATTAGAGAATTGGTCGACTGCATGGAGATGACTAATATATTAAACTCCTTTAGTGTTTAACTAATGTTATGTTGTGTATGTATAACACTGTTAGGTCTAAAAATACTATTTGTTTTCCTAAATTTGCACATATATATTTTTTGGAATCCCTGTTACGTAAGTTTATGAGCATTTCACAATCCGAAACTTCACTAATAAAAAGAAGAAGGTTACCAGAAATTCAGCAAGCAACATGGCATGTTAATATAGAGAAATATAAAGAGAAAGCCGTGTGGCGTGAACTGCTAAATCCTTCACCTGCAGTTAGAAGAATGCTAATTACAGGTTAGAGCAACACAGGTATAGATGCAACTGTGTATTATAGTCCAACAATTTTTAAGGACGTCGGAATTAAGGGTAACACTCAACTATTAGCTGCAATTGTTGCTGTTGGATTCACAAAATCTATTCATTTTGATAGACATATTTCTTTTTAACAAAGTTGGTAGGAAAACTTTGTTATTGACATATGTCTTGGACTCACACTTTCTTTACTGTTGAATGGTTCAGTTGGAATCAAATTAGTAATTTTATGTGTATGTGGAAATGTAGCATTATTTTCCGTGTGGATTGGTCCTATTTGTTGGGTATTAACATCTGAAATCTTCCCCTTAAGATTTAGAGCCCAAGCATCAGCTCTTGGTGCAGTGGAAATCAGGGTTAGTAGTGGTGTGGTTGCAATGTCTTTTCTCTCTATTTCTCGAATGATTACAGTATGAGGAACATTGTACAACTGAAATCCTAAATGCTTCTGTTGATGTGATATTCCCTTATGCATCCGAATGCTTACAGATTGAACTATTGAAGGTATCATTTAATGGAACTAATTTAATATCTATGCTTAATTGCTTATCTTTTTGGTTTTGGACATAAATGAAATTTTCACAGCTTATGCTCTTGGCATTTATATATAGATTCCAATAATCAAATTTGCAAGATACATTGCTACAACTTAACTTCTTTTCAGGAAGGACATATTTGGATTGTTGCGACTGTAGTGAATCTTCTACTTAAAAAAGAATGGTCATATTTGGGGTGCAAGAGATGCTCGAAGAAGGTTGTCAAAATTGGAAGTAAATTTCACTGCAAGAAATTTGATTGCCTTGATAGTTCTGTCACTCGTAGGTTTGATAAGCTTCACTATTTACTGTGAAATACAACTAAAGTTGCAAGTTACAAAAATAAGGACCAATTTTACTATAAAATATTAAATAAAACTAAAGTTTCAATTTCTTATTCGAAACGTATCTTTCAGGTACAAGCTTCGAGTACAAGTAATGGATCACACTGGCTTTATATCTTTGTTGCTTTGGGATCGTGAAGCAACAAGACTCATTGGGAAGTATGCTAATGAGTTAAATGAAATTTCAATTGAGGTATATTTTTTTTGTATTAATTTTTACTATATTTTTTCAATGAAGGTAAGAAAGGTAAATATGGTATATTTGTAAAATTATAATAAAAATTAACTTGAACCTCCAATACACCCTTAAATTAATTGGAACTGACCATTTGTTACATCACTCAAGAGGAAGAGCCCTATTATTTTGTTTTGATACTATTCCTACCAGAATGAAAAGTAGGATAATGATTTAAGGGATGGTTTAGTAGTTATACTTTTTATTTTAATTCTTTGTGTTTTACCATTTCTAACACTAATTCGGTCTTAGACTTCTGTTGTTGTTGATGAGTGTTCTTATCCAGTGGAGTTGTATGATATTCTTGACAAAAAAGTCCTGTTTAAAGTGTCTGTCAAGAGATCCAACATTAAAGTGCATGCGGAAGTTTATAATATTGTTAAAATCAGCGAGGACGATAACCTTATACAACAATATAGTCAACCTGCACAAGATGATACATTCACTGTATGTGATCGTTACTCAAATACTTCATAATACACTAATTTTCCTTTTGATTTTATATAAGGGATTATCAAGTTTTAATTAATTATGTTACTATTTTCTTAATAGGACCCTGATTTTGAGTGTGAACAACACACTGGTGCAGACACAACTTTCAAGGTGACTAATTCAAACTTTGCCTGTATAGCTTCTTATCTATAATATGGTTTTTAATAATTAATTTTTCTTTTGTAGGATTCAATGGCTGAAAATGAGATGACTTCTCTTGCAAAGACCCCTGCCAAAAGAAATAGAGAAGAGGATGTGTCATATGTAGTAGATGTTGGTGATGATCTTGCACAATTTTCAAGTAACAAGCTTAAAAAAGTGATCAAAAAGGAGAAAAATCAGTGAATTGAAACATTTACTTCCTTTTAAATGAAATTATTCGTACAATTTCATTAGCAAGTACTTTGGTACAATTTGAAGTAGTTTGGTTTGTATTTTAATTTGGTTTCTACCATTTAGGATCATGATTTAATATCTGAAATTAGTTGATTTTTTGTGATATGAACTTCACTTACGTCAGAAGTGCAACTGCATCAGTGCAACTGCATATTTTTGAAATATTGCATTAATATCGCATGTAAACATTTATGCTATTATATTATCAAAAAATGAGGAGAAGTAACTTTTGAATGTTATATGTGAGTTAAGTGAATGAATCAAGAGTAAGTGTCTTCGTGTAGTTAAGGTTTCTGTATCTACTTGTGTTTGTCAGACTTCAAACTTTTGATATATATTTTATGTATCAGATATTAGAATCCAATAAAATGGGACAATAACAAAAAAAATGTAATGCACAAGCTATAAAGTTCAGTTATTTGAAATCGGTCCCGATATACAATATTATAGTAAGTCATTTGTATATGTAAAGGAATATTGCGTCTGCTGCACCATCTTTAGTTCTCATCACGAAGATCTTTTCATTAATGGAAAGAAGTATTTAACTTCCAAAGAAGGGACCGGATTAGGTAGAAGACTGCTCCAATGAATATTTCCTTCAAATTTGGAGCAATTATCACATAAGTACTACTGTGAGATAAAAGATCAAATACTGTCCAATGTGAATCATATTGCATCAGATGTTACTTTTGATACATTTCTAACTCAAGGTAAATACATTTTACAAAATCACTGGAATGCAGAATAAAACGACTAAGTGAAACTTCTACGGAGTATCATGAGATGAAATGTAGCCAAACTAAGGGGATATTCTGGGACAGTGGTCTGAATGCTAACAACAGAATCATGATGTTAGGGCAAGAAACAAGCTTTACCAGTATTTCTGTAATTGTATCCTGTACCTTAGAACCAAATATCACATGCAACCTCAAGGTAAATGAACCATTTTATTCAAGCAGTTTCAAAACAACCAGAACGAGCAGCAAATATCACTTGCAACCTCACAGGAAAGGAATCATTTTATTCAAGGTATTTCAAACAACCAGAACTTAGCACTACAAAAGATGGAAAAGGGTACCGGCAAAGCGATCAATATTCTCGAGTATGTAGAAACCTATGCTATATATAGTAACAGAAAAAGACCATGAGCCTTCTCAGAATTGAACATCCAGCGAAAGTACACAACTGCATAACTGGATCAAATGCTGAGTAAGTGTCTTTGTGTAGTTAAGATTTCTGTATCTACTTGTGTTTGTTAGACTTCAAACTTCTGATATATATTTTATGTATCAGATATTAGAGTCCAATAAAATGGGACATCACCAATATAGTCAAATGGAAAAAGGTTCCTCAAGTGTAACCTTTATGTATGAGATATTGAAGTTCTATTATGATGTACATTGTTTGAATCAGATGAAAATCTCAAAAAACCCTGTACATACTCCATGTAGTTTGGATGGGGGTAAAATCTTAAAGGTTTTCTCCAGCTCCTCCAGCAGCACCATGTATAGTTCCATTCAGACGCCCTTATATAAGTGCTTCTCATTATTTGTACAAATATTCTGCAGTAAACATCAGCAATAGTTATCTTTGCATCAGCCAATTAGATGAATGCAGAGTTTTTTTAATTATGTCATTTAAGAGTAAATATGATAATACGAAAAAATCCTAATATTTGCAGTAAGCTTTAACTAAATGTCGGACGATAAATGAGCAACAGAGGATATAGTCTAGGTTGTTAGTAAACAGAAATTGCAGTAAAGTAAGGAGTCTAAATTAGTTGGAAATCAGGAATGATGTGCATTACAGAAGAATTGCATCAGATAGCAAAATACATTGTAATACCAAATTCACCATCCATCAATTAGAATATTAATATGCACCAGCACAATGTATAGAATGTACCAGCTCAACACTTAGAAACTATTCACAAATCAAAATGTTACTTATAAGAGTTGCTTCACTAGAATCTCAAGGTACATTTTACTAGGCTTACCAATGAAAAATATAATTATGCCAAAAAAATCAAGAACAAGAAGAAGCCAATCGCTACATACAATCAAGTCTATAAACCTGTAGGAATCACTTTAAAGTAACACAAAAAAAATACTAAGGCTCTTAGAGAGCCGTACACTCTGCATCTGCTGTGTAGTAAATACTTTTGTATGATTTTGCTTATGCTATTTCTCATAAAAATCTAAGTATGTGTGTGTAGAACCGATCAAACTATGCATTTGTGTTCACTATTTATTTAATATGTACAAAGTATCTTTTCATAATCATGTAAATAACACAAATTCAATAAGAACTAATAAACTAAAAATCCTGGCTTTGTTCTGTGAGTGCAATTATTTTCTGCGTTTGAAACAGAACTAAAATAGCTTTAATGTGACTTCATGTTTTTTCCATTTTTGTTCAATAACAAAAAATAGTAAAAGTACATTTAACTAGATATTGGCTTATAAAGGTTTGTTGAATGTAATGACAAAAATAGAAAAAGAAAAACGTTAGGAGTAGTAGCTTAAACTTAAGACCACCATATCTGAGCAGGTAGAGGAAATGATGCAACTAATGAATGGGGGCAATTACACAGTTACTCATATTCATAGGGAGGGCAACAAGCTGGCAGATCACTTGGCTAATTATGCTTTAGATCATGGAGAAATAGAATGCCAACAATTCTGGCATCTTGATGCACAGGGAAAGAGATTGGTTAATGAAGATAAGCTGCAATGTCCAAGTCTAAGGGTGAAGGTGGACAGGAGATAAGAAGCAAAGAGAAAAGGAAGAGCATGAGGCATGTCAACTTAATCGACCAATATATTCAAATCCTAAGGGAGGAGGATATTTCTATCGCGCAGGTGCCACTACGTTATCACAATGCTTATGGCACTCAATGCTGCAACTTTACGAGATAATCGATGCTAAAGAACAAAAACATTTCAGTAAACAAGATGGGCACATGAAGTTATGCACAGTAACAGATAACAAACTTTTGGGAGTTTGCACAACCACGCAAGGGAATTTGTACGAAATGCAGGTCTTTAATCGTTTTAAACTAAGCATTGAGGGTTGTAGTGATTTCGAGAATCCCTTTCATGTGCGCACATGGTTTAATATAGAAAGCGTGAAGCCTGTCTCCTGGTCTGGGCAGTGCAATCGAGTCAAAAGGAATGCAGGAACGAAACAACAAAGCACACGCGTGCAGTTGCCTATTTCAGAAAAACTTGATACACGCATGGAGGGTGGCAGCTGCCACAACCAAAGCATCTGGGAAGTGATTTTTTGGGAGTAAAATACCAACAGGGAGGCACACATGCTTTAGCTTGGAAATGCGAGTTGAAAGTTAATGCATGCTAGACATGAATGCTTTTGATACTTGAGCATGCACTACATTGGCTCAAAACGAGAAATGGTAGAGCGTGTAAAAGCTTGATACATGCATGGAGGGTGGCAACTGCAACAACCAAAGCAACTAGGACGTGATTTTTTGGGATTAAAATACCAACAGGGAGGCACACATGCTTTCACTTGGAAATGAACGCTGGAAGTTAGTGCATGCTGGACATGAATGCTTTTGATACTTGAGCATGCACTACATTGGCTCAAAATGAGAAATGGTAGAGCGTGCCAAGCTCTGTGTTCGACAAAGGCAGTAATTAAATAATGGCCAGCCATTAAACAAGGGCCAATGTCTTCGGCGCAGCAACAACATCTATACGAGTGGGAACAGAAGAGTAAACATACGCGTCCAGTTTCCTAGGAGGCACCACTAGGTCGACATTCCATGTTGAGCGAGGCTAATGTCTTGAGCTGGAACAAAAGATTGGACGCATGAATAATGCAGCAGCACCAACAAAAGAATGGACTGGACAGTGCGTTCGATAAGCCACATAGAAAAGAGTTATGTATGAAAACAACAGAACCTAAATTACAACGGGATAGAAGCAAATGCGAAGGAGAAAGGCGTATACTAATGCATGACTTTTAGTTATACAAAGTGTGATATCAACTTTGATAATAGGTATTATGTAGTTTACAAAATTTATTTCGTGCACCTTTTAAGATTTCATGACACTTTGTTTTTCCTTTAAAATATTAATAAAAACCAACCCTAGGCTATGCCTAGTGGATTGCTTAAAAAAAAACTTAAGACCACTAGGATATATCTATCTTTCTCTAAATTAAAAGGACTGGGAAATACATAAATAATAAAAAATTAAAACAGATTAGCACATATGCCTCTAAAATAATTCCCGATTTGTCCCAAACCGTCTTCTCGCTGTCTCCGTCATAAAAATTCCCAATACTTCTTCGCGCTCTCTCTCTCTCTCTCTTCTTAAAGATTTCTCAATTCTCAATAGAAATCCATTTTCAAGGCTACTTGAACATGGAAGATCAGAAGAAACTGGCAAGAACAAAGAGAATATGCATACGAAATCAAAAGCGGACTAAGCACTTCTCGGATCGCAATGGTAAAAACTTATATTGCCGCGCTTATCTTTGATGTATTTAAACTTTTCCGTGTTATAAATTAATCGATGTTAGATATAAACCCTAAATTAGAACACAAAATATTCAACTAGAAATTAAGGGTTCTTCTCCAGGTACTGAGAATTGACATATTATTAGTAATACATTCTCATTTTGGTGTACTGTCTTCTACAACATAAAAAATATGATTTCAAAAAAAATGGTTTAGGCTTTCTATGATCCAATTTATTTGCTAGTAGCTTATTTCGATCGAGAAATTCTTTTGGTCCAGCAAAGTATGAAATGAGCATGAAGCTTTATATCTTTTGTTAGGCTATGTTGAATTATTTTATATTATTCCTTTTTTGTAACTCATTTTTGAAAATTTCATGTGTTCTACAGGTTGATCCCACAAATGGCAGAGGGAATGCTAACGAAAAAGAAAACAGATGTCCTCCTTTGTCTGATATAACAAATGGTCAGTTCCTATAAATCTAAGGGGGTTAATATTTACTAAATATTTTCATATATATATATATATATATATATATAAAGCTTATCTTAATTGAAAATATTCATGAACAGTTTCCCAGTCGAGACGCAAGAGGTGTTTTTTAAAAGATGATGTCAATGAAATGAGGAAACAAAGGAATGTAATGGGAATAAATATGTCAATCAACATAAATATATGTCATGGCACATCTGAAAAGAATTCAGGCGAATCTGGATTGAGTACCCTTAGAATGGCTGGAATGTATGCTCTCTAGATGGTGATAAAAGAAATAGATATGTTGTTGTGCCAACTCCATCATATCAGAATTGTACACCACTAGTTGGCATCCCTATAACAAGTTGTATGGACAGGTTTTTTCTTCCAAACCTTTTGAATATAATCCAAAGCCACTTCCACTACGAGATTTGCGAAATAGTTAGTCTTTTATGATCTTATTTCTTACTTGTATGTAATGGTTATCTAAAGTTTTTTAATGATTAAACATTGACTGTTTTTTAATTACCAGTCCGAAAATTGATTAGCCCATACTATTTTCACGATTATTACAGAAATAACTAGGCAGATTTACTGTTTATATTTTCTAGTGGGTATACATTAATTATAGGCATAATACATGCCCTCAAAGTTGACCTCAGTCGACAAGTATGCCCTTTAACTTTGGATGTGCATAGTACTAAAACTGTCTCCACTTTATCAATTGAACACTCCAATTTATATAATGATCATTTAGATACCTCCAAAATTTATGTGCCACATCAACATTTGTGTTTACATGTTCAACTTTATACAAATTGAATTGCCTATTTGGGTTAATTCTATTTTACCACCGCTTATTCCTTATTATTATTATTATTATTATTATTATAGACATAAGTATTCCTAACTAAGGCCAATTTTAAAAATAGACACTAAGAGTCCCTTCTAAAACTTTATGACCAAATGCTTTTTTTTTGGGTTAAAAATTAATAAAATATGTTCCTTTTGAAGATTTTATCACATGGACTCTCCTTCCTTCCTATGCCCACCTAAGATCCTCCCCCTTTTTCTTTCTTTCCTTTTTTTTAGTTTTCATATTTTTTTATCTTCTTCACTTTCTTTTATTTTTTTCCATTTTGTTTGTAAAGTTGTGTACGCCTTTTCAGTTTTTTTTTCTTGTAGTTCTCGCTTTAATTCCTTTTTGTTCTTTCTAGTAAATCACTCCTTTTTTAATCTTGTCTTAATTTTTTATATTTTTACTGTGTTTCTATATTTTTTATTTGTTTTTCAAGTAAAATTGCTTAGTCCAGAATATTCGTCACTTTTTTTACTTTCTTTTATCTTTCCCATTTTGTAGTTGTTTTTTCACATTGTTATATTTTTCGTTTCTAATAAATTATGAACTCTTTTTAGGGGTTTTAACCTTTTTGTAGTAATTCTTTCTTTTTTTTTTTAGTTTTTTTAATTCATTTTAGTAACAATCCGTCGCTCTTTACACTTTAATTTTTTTTCTTAAATTTTATTATTTTTTTGGTTGTATTTCTTTATTTTTTTTAATTTAATTCTTTCTAGTAAAATCTCTTCGTCCAAAAATATAAGTTACTTTTTTCTCTTTTTCATTACTCCCTGCATTCTAATTTATATGTCTTAGTTTAACTGAGTATGAGTCAAAAAAGTAAGAAATAATTTTTTATATCTTATGGTATTAAACTAAAGAATGTGTTATATACCAAAATATCTTTGAATCGCTTATGGCCTTAAATATGTCATGTGAAAAAGTTGGAGTTAAAGAGTTGCTAAACATAAAAAGAAATATTTTTTAAAACAAATAAAAAAGAAAGCAAGACACATAAATTAAAATAGGGGGAATATATAACGACCTGACCGGTCGTTTTAAGAATTTACGCTCTGATCCCCTATTAACTGCTTTTTCCGTATTTATTTCTGCTATTTTGATTCACCGGGATGTTTGGTTTTGAGTTTCGGAGTGTTTTGGGACACTTTAGTCCCTAAATGAGAGCTTAAGTTTTAGAATTTGGACCGTAGTTGGAGCAGTGTGAAGACGGCCTCAGAATGGAATTTTGTCGGTTCCGTTAGCTCCGTTGGGTGATTTCAGTCTTGGAGGTGTGTTCGGATTGTGTTTTGGAGGTCCATAGCTTATTTAGGCTTGAAATGTCGAAAGTTGAATTTTTGAAGTTCCAAGTTCGATAGTGAGATTTTGATATCGGGGTCGGAATGAAATTCCGAAAGTTGGAGTAGCTCCATAGTGTTGAATGTGATGTGCTTGCAAAATTTCAGATTATTCGGGCGAGGTTTGGTAGACTTTTTGATCGAAAGTGTAATTTGAGAATTTTTGGAATTCTTAGGCTTGAATCCGATATTAAATTGGTGTTTTGATGTTGTTTTGAGCGTTCCGAAGCTTGGATCAAGTTTGAATGATGTTTTAGGATTGATTGGCATGTTTGGTTGAGGTTCTGGGGGCCTCGGGTGTGTTTCGGGTGCTCAATGAATCATTTTTGGAACTTGAAAATTTGCAGAAAAAGTTGCAGCAGTCAGTTTTGGTTTCCTTCTTCGCGTTCACGAGTGGGGTCTCGTGTTCACGAAGAGGAGTTGGGGCTGGTGAAGGGTTAACGCTTTGCTTTCGTGAAGGTATTCCCGCATTGGACCAAGTAGAGTTGTGCTTCGCGAGCGCGAGAGTCCTTCCGCGTTCGCGAAGAAGGAAATAACTGGGCAGATTTTAAAAACCCAAAATCGAGGGTTTAAGCCATAATTCATATTTTGGACTTGGGAGCTCGGGAAATTTGCAATTTTTGAAGAGATTTTCACCTGGGTGATTTGGGTAAGTAATTCCTACTCGGTTTAGACTAATTTCCATAATCTACACTTAAATCCATCCTTTAATTTTGAATTTATGGTGGAAAATTGGGGGAAAGTTCTTAGACCTAAATTTCGAGTTTTGATTGGGGATTTGACATTAGATTTGGATAATTTGGTATAGTTAAACTCGTGAGAGTATGAGGATTCTGAAAATGTAAATTTTACCCGATTCCGAGATGTGGGCCCGGAGGCATTTTGGTCATTTTACCTAATTTCGTGTATTAGCTTAGAATTTATTTGTGGGTTTAGTTATTTGAAGTTATGTTTACATTATGCAATTGAATTGAATAGATTTGGGCCATTTGGAGTTGAGTACTCGTGGAAAGATCGTAGTTTCGGGTTGATTTTGAGCAGGTTCGAGGTAAGTGGCTTGCCTAACCTTGTGTGGGGGAAACTCCCCTTAGGATTTGGTATTGTTGATATTTGAAATGCCTTGTACGTGAGGTGACGAGTGCTTACTTGTGCTAA